CACGCGACGAAGCATGGATTCCGATCGTGACGTGTCCATAACACACAGCTTCTTGCAACGAAACGACCAATCAACCATCCCTGTGTATCGTGAAACGCGCGTCTACTTTCCGCCACTTTCCCCACTCCAATTGTTTCGTTTTTAAATACCACTTAACATGTCGGTCGCTGATTCGTACTTGACGCGACGAAACGTAGCGTTAAATCGATGACTACAATAGATTTATTGGCTTTTTTCACATCCTATAATAGACTGTCGCAGAAAATATCGCGTGTTTCGGGAGAATCTTCTTATTGCCTATTGAGACGAAACGAGTAGTGAAAAATATGTATATACGAATGATCGGAAGATAAAGACATCGTCGTAATCAATGTGATTGACATATACACACTGTTACGATAGATTCATATTAACTCCTTGATGCTGACCACTGGATAGTGATTCTATGATTGTCAGAAAACTATAAATAATACTCGAAGAACTTCTGTATTTCAATTTTAGATCAGTGAATAGTGTAAAGTATACATAGTTCGCAATGCATGGTCACTAATGGAAATATAGCAAAATCGTAACCAATTGTACCGCGCGACTACGCCAATAGATGGCGACAGCGATCGCTGCACTAAGGGCCGTAAGCAATTTTCAGTTACAGGTATACAAAATACCGCGGTATTTGTATAAATAATTCACTTATTATTTATTTCATCATTCTACACCGAATACTGTTTAATATTTTGAATATCTTCAAAAATCGCAATTTTTCGTAGATTATTGTTAATACACAGCGACGGGAGAATTCCGAATCGACATCATACGGTACTGAACGTCGTTCGCGCTCTTTGTCTCAGTCAAATATCTGAAGTTGCTGCTTCGACAGTTGAAACGTTAGTATTGCGTGTTCTCTTCCAATGATGTCTCGATTTTACTATTCTCCTATTGTGATTATCCGCACTAACAGAAGTTCTGATAGAGTGTTTCAGTGTCAAGGTGCTAATAACGAATCGAAACAGTGATTAAAACCTCACGATATTTTATCGAGACAATCGAATATTCGTGGTCGATTAGGAGACTCGCCGTTCCAAGACACCGGGCCATATTTTGTTCGCTTCACCGAGGAATATTCCACGAGCATGTGTATATGAGTGTTACGCAACAAGCATCCGTTTAATCAGACACTGATCTCCGATGATTTTCCTCCCTCTCGAGAGAGGAAAGCTTTCTGCCGAGCAACTGTCGCGTTACCGCCGAGAACGTCGCGTCGAGTCTCTCTTGTCAATAGGTTGACGAGCTGTAACGATTTTTGTCTGCAGTCAATAGGGTAATTTACGATTGTTGTGCGTGGAGTCGTGGCGACGAGGCACGAACGAAAAGGCGAAACCGTGCCTCGCGTAGCAGACGCCGCCGTTTTCTCGCGATATCGATACGCGGCGGAGCTGGTGTACCGCAATTCGTTTGAACGTTTTCTACGGCGAACGGAGATTGTACTGTACATTAGTAAATTTATATTTTTGGATGAAGAAAAAAGTAAAACGAAACAAAACGCGAAAACAAAGAGAATGCAACGGCCGATAAATAATAACAGGCCGAAGTAAAGAAAAATCGCTCGCGGACGCGAGCACACGCACGCACGCACGCCGCCATTCTGTCGGTTCTTTATGGTCGAGAGCCTCGGTTCTCAACGTCGTACACTTCGTTCGGATTCGCATGAGCCACTTCTGCGTTCACAGTCATTTGGATGTGAGAACCATCAAACGTTCCAGCCTTATTTCCATGCACAGTGTTAATGTTTTGTGATTTCACTATGATCGTTGCGTGCTCATTTCGTGTCGTTTCGTTCCCGATTCATTGCTATCGTTATTTTGATTTTCCAATGATAATCATCGATACGATTTTTTCAATTTTTCCTTTTTCTATGTTACCTATGGAATATTTGTATTTTGAGTGAACGACACGCGACGAGTTTTGAGAGATATTTACACGCGATTTGGCATGGTCATAGAGGGCGCCAGGAGAGTGTTGTTATCGTGAATTACAAAATGGCTTCTTCGAGCTACGATGACTTTATTTTTCCAGCAGATTTACTCGCTAAACGTTTTTGTTTCTCTTTCCATGAAAAAGACAGTACGTTTTATGAACAATGTCGCGTTCGTATTACGTATGGGAGAAAAATAAAGCCAACGATTTTGAAAGAATGTAGGATATCGTATACTTTGTTGCAACGAAATGGAATTTGAAGCCGCACTCGTTGTCGCGTAAATTTGATCTATACTTCGTTCATGTTGCCGGTACACTGCATGTTTAAAAAGATACGAACGAGTTCCATTTCGTTGATGTTGTCAATGAGTTACCATGATGTTTCTATTTTTTGCGAATGGTTCGTTTGATCTGTGAAACTTCGTAGACCGAGCCCTTGACGTAGAAGTGGTCACGCAGTTTTCTTATTATCTGTAATAATAATACTGATAACGAATACAGTGTATGAGTATTAACAAATTTATTAACGAGAATGATATATTATTGCGACAGTAATCTACGTAAGTGTTGTGAATAATGGAGATAATATTGTTGCTGTGATTACCTTTAAGATTGTAAGTAGTAGGATATAGAACCACTGTTAGGTGTCACTGTCTCGATTCAATAAATGTTATTTCATTTTAATGACAACGCAAGTCATCTGCATTCATTCGTAACACTGAAACCTTTTACCATTATCCTTCAAACCTGGTCGTTCCTATTTGTATAAACGTACTAAGCCCGTATTTAACATAAATTGTAATATTAACACTAATAGTTTTTATTTGGTTTCAGGGTTAGACCTAATTTTAAAATTTTGCATGAACCTATGAAAGAATAATAATGTAAGCTTAGTATAGGTGTACCACCGAATACAAACGTATATTTTATAAATTCAAGAATTTTCATTATTCGTAAAATTTTATTCCGTGATACTGTCAGATGGTGATAATTAATTCTACTTTCAAATTTTTGTTAGGTTAAGGGTGGAACTGTTAAACGATAAAGTTCGTAGAAGAGTTCACGTTTCAAAGGTGCATATTTGCTTTATTTTTAAATATACAAATTTACAATTATAAAAGAAACAACTTTACAATTTATTTTGGACAGCAATGGACGAGAACCACAGCCCAATCAAAGCCAGCTTATATCAAAGTATTGATGAGAGAATGTGACCTTGAGCAATTATGTTTATACTTCTATTACAGTTCTCATAAATGAAGATTGCAGATATTTTTACAAAAATTAAACAGGGAAATTTTCATGGTTAATAGTATGTTGGGAAATGAATATAAATACAAGAATTTATTCAACCTCTACAAATTAGTCAACTATTTTAGTAATTAAGAAATAGTGAAAATGAAAGGTATAATTTTTTTTACATCTATACTATATACATGTTTGATTATATGTGATATTATTATTATTTGATATATATACACATAATTTTGATTTCTTAAATTACTTATAAAATGACTGAGTGTAAATATGGTTATAAGAAAAAGTTACATAAAACATTTATTATCGTCAGATCATGCTGATAAGTAACAAATTATACCATGTAAATAATATATAGTAAACATAAAATAGAGGAACTACTTATTTAGTTTAGTTTAGTAAGTGAGATTTGTATATAGTTGATTATTATACATTATACATATTATACGTATTAGATAATATTGTATATAAACATAGTACATAGTAAACGTACGTGATACATAGGTATATGAGGTGTAAACATAGTTTCCAATTTTTAGTTGTTTTTAGTGCGGCACATTAGGGCGTAAAAATCCTGTGCAGAAACTTCGATACTTCCACTCTAACGGTCGCGTTTCTTTTACATTGAAGTTGAATCTTAACAATGGTTTTCTTTCCTCTTCATTGCCTTTTCGATAAGTTTTAAATATGTATCTGCATAAATGACACGCCGCCAAACACGTCCAAAGTACGATCAAGCATATATCTGAAACGACATCGTATATAGTATAGTCAAAATTTAATAAAATTTGTTATTTAAAATTCTGACATAACATTAAATGATGTGAACAAAAATAAAATCTTCAAATTGCTAACATTTCTGTCACATTATTGTTCACTGATATCCTTGAAAATTAAATTTTACAACAAAATTTATTCAGCACTTTGCATACTAAATTTAAAAATTGGTACATAAGTATCTCAAATTTAAAAATCTACTTTTTGCTATGGTGTGTCTAGGATCAATTAATTGTTCAAGATTACTGACAAGATAACTCAAGCCTTAAGAACTGAAGATCATATTGTTATTATGGCTATCAAAAAATAATTGAACAAAAATTGTATTACAATATTCAGAACATTTGCATGACATAACTCTTAAGAATTTTAATTATTAAATCTTTTAAAGTACATTTAAATATATATATGATTGTTTATGGTCTTAATCAGAGAAACTCACTTCAACTAATTGAATAATTAAATATGATTAGATTATAAAAATGTTCAAATACACATAGCTCTAGATATATAAAGAGAGATGATACCCCAAGTCTGAAGTGGATGTTGAACAACAGCTGAGCCAAAATCTTGAACAGTGGCTCTCCTCACAGCATTTATTATAATATATTTCAAACAAGAGCCAGCATAGTAATCAATTGGTAGCACCACAATGAAGGACGTGAATATGGAAGTAATAACAATGAAATTCCTACAACATATCATATAGCTTATAGATATACTAATAGTCAAGGTCCAGAACAGTAACCAGAAGACCCAATTCTGTTGCAGTATTATGAATGTATCTGAAAAAGAATCAAAAGAAAACCACGTTATACAACCAACTCACATCTATACAAAAATATTTCACGACTCTACTATCCCATATTCATTTATCTCAGATAAGTGTCAAATGAAATATAATCCAAGTACAAGGAAAAGCATCAGGTCATGGAGGTCTTTGCCTATACCAGTGTCCCTCGTTCTCTTTCTACAGTATCATCTCCATGAAACACACGCGGTTACATAAACCACGGAGAACATGATCAAACTGTGCCAAAGACGCAGCGTACAGGGTGAACAGAGGGTGGCCAAGTCGATCATCTGTCGACGGGGTAGATCGAACCGATACTCCGTGCAGTTACGCATGCATAGACCGTGTAATCTAAATAGGTCCCGTAGCTAAATAAATACGGGGGACACAATTAGGTAAATGCGAATCTTTCAAGCTGGTTAGATCGCTTCGTGGGAGTTCTCGCAGGGGTCAGGGCTGCGTGTACGCGATGATTTCCATCGTGTGTGTCTGTGTGCGTGGACGAGATGCTAGGAGGGTAGGTATATGGTGAGAAAGGTAGGAGGTAACGCGAATGCCCGCCACTGCTGCATGGGGTGATTCGGCAGACGAGGTTTCCACATGAGCGACCAACATTGATAAAAGCTACAGGGGAACTCCCTGGCTGTGCTTCATCCCTTCACCAAACTCGTACTAACTTCGGGGGCGGTGGGCTCTCCCTCCCTTTCTCTCACCCCTACTTTTCTTTTCGCGTTACTCTTCTCGTTCGTTTTTAAACCGGCTTTCATTATTTTCCTATAACTTCCTACGTAGCCCCCAGTCATCTTTCAACACCGCACATGGAATCGCTTTATTTCCGGATACGTTTACTGCCGTTTTACTCGTGTCCTTTGAGTGACAACCTCCTGCGTACCTGGCAAATGGAAGTAAGTGACGCACGAGAGAAACAGGCCTAGTGTCATAGCGTATGCCAGCTTGGCGATTAGAGGGCAGCAGAAATAAAATATCGTCCATAGCACCACCACTGCCAGACCTATTAACAAGGATATCCCGATGTTCGCTGAAACAAACAAAATATATCATTGCAAGACTGTATTTCTTATTAAAAAACTAGTTATTTTCGGAAATATTTTTCTCTTTTTGCAAAATAGGATATTGAAAGATGTTTATTATATGTTTATCTAGTATATAAAAATCGTTCCGACTTTATTTATATTTTAACGATGACTTATCTTTATTCACCTTCATCGGTGTTGTACGAATTAGTAAAGTGACGATACGTGTGGAATAATTTATGCAGCGATAATTTCGTTTAGCTGTCGTAAGTGCAAGGTAAGAACAAACTGGATATTTTGAAAAATTTTATTTATATTTTAGGGGTTTCGCGAAACGGCGAAATCTCGAATCCTCGAACCCGGAAAAGCGAGGAAAATTTCGGGAAATTAAAGCTTCGTTCTCGGTGATGCGAAATTTTCAAAAATCAGGTAAGGAATGATAGAAAATATTGGTGAATTTTCAGCGTCTGTCATTTTTAAAGTTATAGGCAGATCATCTTCGATCTACCTCGAATAAATTTGTATGATATATAGCAATTACCGACTATCGCGTAACCAAACACGGTTCCAGTGAAGAATACAGGCATGACTACGTCGATTTCAATGAAACCGGGGCCTCGATATATCAATAATAATCCGAGGATGAGACAGAGGGCGTTGACGGCCTTGTAAGAAGTCGTACCTGTAAGCAATGGCGACGTATGAGAATCATTGGGTGCATAGGATTGATTTTTACTCTTGATTTTTGCATGAACGATGAGATACGTACTTAAAATGCTGCACGAGCTAGGATCGGTTACTGGATTGCAGCCATAGGAGAAATTAGGCACATAGGCTGCGGAATAGTTCCCATAAGTGGCCACTGCAACGTAAACCGAGGGAACTCCGATGTATGCGCTGAATATTCGTCTTATACTTGTGGAAAGAAGAGGACTCCCCACCTGATGGAAAATATACAATTCTTTTTTTATTAAAATTACAGGCCTGAATTTATGTGTATTCGTCTGATCTCTGAAAATGTTCGAATACGATACAGACGAGTGCTGTGCACGTTTGATTAATTATGTACAATACGTGGTGTTGTCAACAATAGTAATTTAATATGATATTTAGCTGTTACTTTTGGCATACAATGCGATATTCGTTAATCAATGATTAATCAAACGTACAGTTTACCTGTAAGTATAATTAGTGCATTATAATGAAATTGTATAATGGCGTCGAGGTATCTGGGAATAGATATTTAATACAGAAGAATTTGTATATTTTATATATATATATTATAATTGTTATATAAATATTATTAATTATAATTAATATACATTATATATATTAATGTATATGTAAATGTGTACAAAGTATACACTCGCTGATAAAAGTTAAGAAACAACGTAATCGTTTGGCAATTTCGATATATTGTACTATATAAGATATATAGTATCTTAGAAGGTAGAGAATATTCCGAAATTACCAAACGATTACGTTGTTTCTTAACTTTTGTCAGTAAGTGTACGTAAAAATTTATTTAGGTACATCTTTATATATATATTTCTCTTAATCTATTTACGTAGATTTATGTAGATCTTTCTTATCTATTTTTCAATGTTCTGTTTCGAAATTATCTAATTCGTGTATATTCCTTTTCATTCCGCGTTAAATCAAGCCACTGTTTTCAGTGGACCATAAATCTACGAAAAAATGAGGTCGGTGAACGAGGAATATTTTTATAGTGAACACTTTTAAATTATGGCAACGATTGCAAAATAAACTAATCGATTAATCGTGAATTCGAATACTTTTTCCTGATACTGTAATGGATTAACGTAACGAAGAAAGAATGATTTTTCTTACCAATTTAATATTCAAAATGGCTGCTATTTGCAGGTTCGGTCAATGATTAAACTCGGTTTTAAAAGTCTGAAAGTAAATTTCGGCTCGTAAAATCGTGCACGGCAAACAGGCGAATGAAACGAATAATCGAATCGGTAACCGGATATGGGTTTTTGGTTTGCTGTTAATTATCGAAAAATGCAGATTCTCAGCAGATAATTTCGATTCAATTAACTGTCACGATCTCCTTAAAAATGTATAGTATTTCATAGCGTTTCAAACTCGACGAAAAATTAAAAACCTGAAAGAAAAAGTCGCTCCAACGAATAAAAACTAAGAAGGGAAAGCATTTTCAAAAATTAACTTCAACTTCAAATTACCTTACTACAATGAAACGTGCGTTGAATAATGAAATACCCAACATAAAATTAATTTCAAATTCAATTAGAAGTCGAAGTTTATCTTCACAAAATTATTTTCGAAAGTAATTCGATATTTGGTTTTTAATTTAAAAAATGTATGCAAGAAATTTCTGTGAAAAGACATGTAGACCCCTGAGGATAGAAGTGGCGCCACAGACGTTCAAATAACCTACATAAAGCGAATTTTGAATTCAATTAAAACCTAAGCACGGTTATTCCTGAAGAATCATTTTCATAACTTCCCAATTACAACGCAATTAATCCGTCAATCCAAACGGTATCTCGTGTTGGCTGAAAAAATTTCTGTAGAAAGCCGTGTGAACCCCTACAAATGGAAGTGCCGCCACTGTCGATTTAAACTATACAAAAGTCAGCTTCAAAGTTGATTCATCCGTCTCGGTTTATTTTCATAAATAATCTTCGTATTCTTTCTACTCAGATGTATTCAAGACACAGGACTGACTAACCGATATCTCGTGTGGGTCTCAGAGACTGACGTAAGAAAATAAATAAAAATACCCAATAAAGAAAAGAAAATGTCGAGTACCTCATGTCCGTTCATCTTGATATCCTCTACAGTCAGCATCTTTATAATAGCCGCGAAGTAACCTTCATCACTGAAGTCTTGCTCGGATAAGAACATCTGATACATCGTGAGATTCACCAAGTTCTTTTCGCAAATCGGCCGCATGGTGTCATTGAATGGTTGCGAGGCGGGCTGCACATCCACGATCACCATCGTGTCGCGTGTCTGCACGTGCATGTACGGCGCGATCTTGGTATTGAACTCCATGTTGCATCCACCCGGTACGGGTGCTGCGGAGAGAACAATGAACTGATGGACGGGATTGATCGTTCTTTGCATTGGGAAATTTATTATTCGAGCCCGCTTCGTGCCTCTGCGTCAAACGGAACCAACGGAACGACGATATACAGACTAGTCCGATAACTATTGTCAGTTTAGTATCCGCGATGGCAGGAAATGCCATTTCGACGCAATTTGGATAACATTGAAACGGTTAGTTTGTGTTTATAGAAATTGGATCCCGCATTGAAAATGACCTTTGTCAATTTTTTTTTTTCTTTTTTTGGATTTCCATGTAATTATGATGTACACTATTTGCTATATTTAAAATTATAAAAAATTTTCATAATTTTATAGAAGTATAATTTTGTAATTATGTAAAAACGAATTAAAAATGGTGAAGTACCTACCGCCTTTGATGAAAAATCAATAAAATTGATAACGGTCATTTTTGATACGAATTCTTCGATTTTCTTTTTTTTTTCTTTCTTTTTTTTCGTGTTGGTGAACAAAATGGGTGAGGTCTAGATAGTATAATTTGATTTAGTAACTTTGATTTTAGCATAACGGGTATATATATGTATATATTATTTATTAAAACTCTTTAGAGGTTATATAATGTATTTCAGTTAATATTAATGGCTGTGTAATTTCTGTGTTCTTAGTATTTGTGGAAATTATTTTCTGTGAAATTGTAACTTGTAAAATTGTAATTATTTAAATATTTGAAAGTATCAGAGTAATTGATTGTTTTCAATTTTTGCATATTACCGTATGATTTTCTAAATAAGACAAATTATAATTTCATAAAGTAGGCAAAATAAAAATATCTGATCGTATTGCGTTTTAAATAAGCATTACGCAAATGTAAGAAAAATGGGTAAATAAATGGTATTTAAAAGTATAATATACGAGAATTCGTATATACGAAAATTTCGATATTTTGAAAAATAATATTAATATAAATTATAAGAAAATAAATAATCAAGAATATTTAAAAAATATACAATTTTTTACTAATTAATTAGATTTTTATGTGTGTCAAATTTCGATGATTTTTTAATGCTTAGTCTTAGTTTTCGAATTATTCGCAAACAACTGTTGCTACCGTATATGGCACTCTGTATATATGTACATATCCGTGTCAGTGTCGTATTAGTACGCGTACAACGCTTGTCGACTGTTTCTATAATGTACAAACAAAATATAAATTTGTAAAATTTTGGTTGAGTATATAATGGACGAACTTATTAAAACAGTACCCCTAAGTAGAATTTTAACAACAATTTATATATACTAACCCAAATCTAAAAATCTAACCAGTGCACTGTTAATTCCTTTCTTGTTGAAGCTAACTTTATGTAAGGTTAGGTTATCGAGTGACGGGCCGTGAACGCCGACTGTGTGAGTGCGACATAAATGAGCGATTAAAAATTCACAACAAAATATCTTCTTAATGAGTTCACCCATTATATATATTAGTCACCGGCTGCCAGAATGTATTTATAGAAACAGTAAGATATGCACACGTTGACACGAATGTATGCAAACAGACAGAATTCAATCTATAGTAGCAGAAGTTTCTTCCAAACGTATATCGGAGATTAAAGACCGAGCAGATGTAACATCTGTTTTAAAAAAATTGTTCAGAATATTGTTCTTTATAACATAAAAAAATCATCGAAATCGAAGTATATCATAATGTACAAAATTACCCTTTTTATTAATATAGAATTATTTTTAAATAATATTTCTTGACCCTTATAATTTTGTTATAGTGACAACAATAATGGATCACCCTGTATATCCTTTTATATTACTTGGAATTTGAAATGCGATGTCAATAGAAATTCTTTTATTTCAATCAGCAATTTGTAACGTATCGTCTGAAATTACATATTTATAAAATAAAAGGTTACTGTTGATATATGCGTATACCTCAAACTGTAATCGTATATTGTTGAATGTCATTTAAATAATATTTAAAAATTTCTGATACAAGCAGTAATAGAACAATGGTCCATAACGATTTGTTTATACGAAATAATCGGTAACACTCACCTTGACTAGGGTAAAGGACAGCAACGATAAGAGCCTCAACGACGTGAATATTATCATTTTTTACGAACAGCTGCGTTGTTCCGGTCGTAGCTTGCCGAGATAGAAGGCCAATATTTGATCCAAATACGCTTCTATTTGAAACCTTACTGAGGTAATCTTTATCATATGACAGTGTGACATTATATTGATAGACATGAATTTGAAAAATAATAAATGATGTGTCAGAGGAAACGTTTGTTATATTAAATATTACATTGCTACTGGCTGCAATAGATATGTCTTTCATGTATGGTGTAGCCTGAACATCGCTTAGATTCATGTGAAATATACTTCCATCTGTAAAACGTATCATATATTATACTTAAATTCTACAAAAACCTGTTTTGCGTAATGATTCATTTCAGATTATATTCAAACATCTCTACCGAATTCTATAGCCAAGGAGAAATTGAAAAAATACTATAAGCTAGATTTCCTTTATGTATATGGGAATTAGAAATTCATTTCACTTACAACGCTTGTGAAATTTTTGTATATTTAGTATTACATAAGTCAAGAAATTAGATGCGTGTGTATCCTTATTACTAAGATTAATGCTCAGTTCAAATTAAATACATAATCTCGTTAATTATGTAGAAGTCATATATTTGATTTCTACAAAAACGTGGCTTACAAAAACTACAATGACTTGTACAGTTTGAAAGATAAGTATATTTAGTAGTTTCCTTTCATTTGGTTTGTATAATACGAGTAAAACTTTGTAATATGATTATGTATGTACACAGTCCATATTACAAAACATGTATGTAGTTATGATAATAAATCTATTTACAAATTTATCTATGAATTTAAAATGACATTTTTATTTATATTATAATAGTATATTTATATTTTTTTAGGTAACGTACACTAGTTGATTATTTTATTCTATAACTTAAATAACGTTTTATACACTAAGTAGAAAATATGATTAAGAAATTGTTTCCGATGACAAATAATGTTTCATTATAGTATATTACAGCTTGTATCTAAACCTGATATTTAAATAAAAATTTAATAATCCTGATAAATACTATAAATAACTTCATATTTCTAATAAAATAATGTACACAGTTACAAAAACAATCATGAATTACTTCATCTTTCACTTTTATATTTGTTGATAAACATAAACACAATTAACAAAATTTATTCGTATTATATTTAAAATCACTTACGTCTAACAGTGAATATTTTTAACTGATTTAAAAAATTACACAAAGAAAAATTACCATGACATGCTATTGAACTTTAAGGTTATGTGCTTACCATTGAAAGTTGATATATTTGATGATTTTTCTCTAGCTAAGGTGCCAATAATGAGCAACAGGAAGATTAGCAACTCTCCGACAAAACTGCGACTCATGCCGATCAGAGTTACGAGCCGCGTGACACACTTATTCGATTAAATTGCCACAAAGCCGAGTCGGCGTGAAGCCACGGAAAATCAGTACGGCGCAACAGCTGACAGTCGGCTACATGCCTGAGCACGGTATACTTCGAGTCTCGGCTACTGTCGTTCTGTCTCACTCTTGAACAGCCAATCGGCGTACGCTTGTACGTCCCTTTCTTTCTTGCGCTCCCGTGTGTTGCGAGTGTTTTGTGAAGTGACCGCAAGGTGGCGACGCAGTCGGCCCAAGATGGCCACGCTGGATCAATGAAACGCGAGTAATCATAGTAAAAACAGAAATTGACAAGTGTGCAAGTGAACACCAGACTTTGATTACAGTGTAAATGGACCATGGGGAAGGATCAGGAGCTGCTGGAGGCAGCAAGAAGCGGAAATGTCACCGTGGTCGAGAAGATTTTGGGTCAACGAGCGAAGAGGAGTGGTCCACTAGCAAGGTGGGTGTCACCGTAGCAGACTTTGCTTTTCCACGCTCCTTTTCCCGTTTTCTCATTGTACATAGTGTTTCATACGATAGCTCTGATTGTGTGCACATCATGTTACCTCCATTGTACGAAAAATGACCTCACTGTCTGTCAGTTCATCGAGAGATCAAAGTTACGTGACACGTTCTTTTCGTATCGCTGTTACGATGATTTGTGTTTCAATGATAAAGTGTTTATACAGTATTGACTGCTGTTCCAATTGTTTCCTTTCATCTCATTGTCTGAGTAGTTCCGTGTTAGCTTTGTTAATCCGGTACAGGTAACTGTGTTTTAGGCATAAACTGAATCGAACGAATCATTACGCATACCGGTTCCTGCGTTAAATTATCTACGCTCGATTGATCGCTACATTTTTCCAATTAATTCCGACAGTTTGCCAGAGATACTCGTGGATGCGTATCCGCTGTTTGTACCGTTAGTACCGGGAATCTGTTCCGTTCGATAGTTTTGATATTAATTAAGCGAACGAACCTTATTGCAAACAACGGGACCGCATTGTTATTATTATTATTATTATTGTTTTTAACATAATTATTTAATGCTCTCGTATATCGTCTATCGTTCTCATGATATATTTTTAATAACCGACCGATTCCGCATCTCGCAGCTGATAATTGGATTTACGGTGCGCGTTTTATAAAAATTGTAACCGTCGTTTGAACACGTTCCCGTATCTTCCGAGTTGCCTTTGCCGCGCAACGCTTAATAATGGAGCATTTTCCTTTAATACATATTATACAATCGTCGCATGGAAATAAACGCGGGCATCGTAATTTTCCCAACCGTAATCAGTTTTACTCTGAATATCTATAGAGTAGAATAATACGCCCGTATGCGCGTGTTACCCACGTTATTGTCCAGTGATTATTCATGATTTCACCATGACCATGAATCACCCTGCCGATGTATACGCTATGTATATACGAAGATGCGTTATGACACGGACACGCAACCGATTCCACTATCAATTATTGAAATTCGTGGTGAACGTTTTAGCGAGACACACGTAATTCATTTTCACTCCCTGACGTGGTCGGTCGCGTACACGTGATATCGCGTGCTAAGATTTAATTAAATTTCCAAAATAAAATACTCAAAAAATTCGGAGGTCGACCTATGCGTCTGGAAATTATACGAAACCATGTTTCTCCACGACTTATCGAATCCTGCTACTTTCTATTTATGGAAGCAGATAAACAGGCTTATTTCGTGAGTAGCTATTTATTTTCAAGGGTCAATGATAAACCTCGCTCGAACGTAATAGATCGGTGAAGATGGCGCGACAGGGCCGTAATATTTTTGTCCTTATCCTGTGTTTAAGGAAATAACCTTTGAGACTCTCAATTTCGTGGCTGCGTTAATTGGATTCAAAGATTAGATTAGGAGACTAAAAAAGTGACATAAAAATACATTCGTAATATAAGACAAGCATAAAAGATAAATATTCAGGAAAAAAAATATGACCGATATCATAAACTATACATATATAAGAAAAATACATTATTTTGAATATGCAAATATAGATAGTATAATTTAATATAATTTAATGTGAAATTAATATTTTTTACGGATAATTTTAATTTCAGTTTTTTTTTTTTCATAACCTCATTGTTCTATAATGGATTATATAAAATAGGTAGGCTCAATCGGTTAACCTTTTTTTAAATTATGATATTAAAAAGATACATATTTTTTCTTAAGCATCTAACGCGTTTCACGTAATAACACGAGTCTCGTGTTAAACTCATTTCAGTGGAAAAAGCAGTCAGTTTAATAACTTAGTCATCCTTCCGAGTTAACATAGTTCGGCCTAAAAAGCGTCATTTAAATACTCGTACACGTGCACGTAACTACGAACAGCAAGCTTTCTACGTAACTCGCGAATCAATTCACTAGGAATGTAATCGACTCGCTCGACAAATCACTGTCAACTTCTCTAATCGCGAGTTCCGGTCTCAATCGAACTTCAGATCGTAATGGATTCCTTTGCGGATTCGATCGACGGGTCGAAGCGGATCAGTGGTAGAGGGCGCGATTAATCGAAACGATCGGTCGCCAGTGCTGCGTCTTTATTGACCCAGTCCCGCGAACTTCTCGACAAAGACGACTTTGTCGACGCTTCTCGCGCGCGTTCATTAATTAAGTCACGCTGGCTACGGGACGAGAAACCGCCGTTTGTTTTCGAGAGGTCTCTGCCGCGTGCTCGTGTAGAAGCAGGCGTGCGTGCTTCGAGTGCATTCACGCATTTTAACACCGATTGTCGCTCACGAGCAAAAACCTTCGGGGCGAAAGAGAAAGGGAATATACAAGGGTGATGGAAAGGGAGGGGGTACGCTGGAAAGGAATAGCGGCAAGAAGCACTTCCCCCACTCCTTCCGTCACGAAAGAAGACGAAGTAAACCGAGCGAGAAAAGGACAGAGTGTCGGGATCAAGCGCACGGTGAATCCTAAATGTATCACGACGAAAGCGTTCCTCTTCTAACAAATTGCCTCTTTTGCTCGTCGTCACCAGTCGTGCAACTTGTCCATAACTACAAAGCTCGCCTGCGGCAACTTTCTACCAAAGCTCTTTACCCTTTCTCTTATAGTTTCTGCTCTCCTGCTTCATTTCTCTTTTCTCGTCTTCTTTTACCCTTTGTTTCTTTACTGTTTCAAAAGATCACAGGAAAGCAATATAAAACGCGCTTGCATCTCGCGCGTGCTGCGAACAACACTAGCGACACTCACGGGGTAGACGGGAAACATTTTGCGATGCTAATCGTGCCACTTCTCGTGTACCGGTGCCCGCGAATGTGTTTATCCTTTGTTTGCACGGCGTGTTGACTTTGGGTCGGGCAATAATTTTAATCACGGCCCTCGGGGGCCTCAGGAAGGGCTTCCCTCCGATGGGAACATCGCCTCGGGCGATTTGGTCTCCCGCGAACCAGAACTTTTAACGTCATCGGCCGGCCGCGATAACTTCGCCTCTCTTTGATGTCTCTTGGGCACACCGTTGGCCCGCCTCGGAATCCCCGGTATGAGGAAACTCACTTTTTAATTTATCACCGAGGATTTGATAAAGCTCGTTCGACGGTTTCGAGGTAATAAAGATTTCAGGGAGCTTGTTTTCATTTAGTCGAGCCGGGGATGAACGTTTAGGGCATGGAAAATAATTTGGGCTGAATTTTAACGATGCGATTATATTTAAGAAAATTTACGAAACATGGAATTAGAAAAAATTTATTATACGATATTATGCTTATTTTCCAACTTTAGTATTTTCAATGGTAATATTAAGTTGATTTTGACGAACATTAGAATAGAGTTTTAAAATTGTTTTATTAGTATCTATTTTTTTGTAACTGACATATTTATAAAATCGACAATTTTTTACACAGGTTTATCTTTCGATATTCAATTAGGTACCAAAATAACATAAATGATACCGTATATTTTTTCGTTCCATAACTTTAAGATTAATTTATCTAGAGACTAGACTTCAAGAAGCATGAACTATCATTTTAGACCGAGATAAACTATCGATAAAGATTTTCTTTATACATTTCTCGATATATTACGTCTTTCTTTCGACTCGCAATGAAATATTAATGTTATCTGTTCGTCTTGAAATACAATGTAGGTCAATCTCTCAATTTCCTCACGTCTGGGGCTTTCTCGCGAGGTTATGCGCTACGCGTCGAATTGGCGCGTAATTCAAATTCGGTTAAGACCATTTGTCCTTTCTCGTTTATTCGTATCGTTATTTTACTACTAAAATGGCATTAAATTTGAGAATTATCGGAGTGTGCCTTCTCTCTAACAATTCTATTACACTTGATCGGTATTGGTATAATATTTTGTTCGTTCTCCGCTCTTCTGGAAGAAGGAATCGATGCGTTAAACGATCGACGAGGGGATAATTAGCCGACAGGCAAGGCATTCTGTTACGAGTTCGCGTTCACTGTGTTCGTTTCTATTACGGATAGATGGACGATCGTCCCTTTAAGAGACGGAGAAAGAGGTATCGCAAGATAGAGATCTGCTCTTTCTCTCGAGGGGTGCGAAACTGCATAAAGTGCAACTAGAAGAGAGTAACCCCCACTCCCTTTTTCTCTCACCTTTCCGGAGTGACACTTGGAGTGTTTGCGAGGAAGGACCTTTTCGCGACATCAGCACGTATCGTGGCCCCTCTTCTTCGCCGGAGGAATTTATCGATTGACGCTTTAACAGCCCTCGCGTGTCTTCACCCTCGCTGCATTTTGGCCCCTGTCTACTGTTTCTCTCTTTGTCGTCTGGCTTCCCCTCTTATTTTATCTTTTGCGACGCGTACGTGCTCTTTCTCTTGTTTTCGATTATTCTCCACTGAGCAGTGTCTCACATACGGACATTCTCTTTTTCATTATTGTTCTCTCGTCGCCTTGCCGGCACCGTCCATTTTATCTCTCGCTCGCGCCATTTTCTTTCTTTTTTTAAATTTATCACAAATACATATCTCGCATCCGTTTACTTTGCTTTCAACAATTTTTTTAACAGCAATCTATATTTCTTCGTATCTTCTTTTATTTTATTTTATCTATTATCCACTGTTCCTCATTTTTATCTTATCTGTTGTTTTGTACTTTATCTTTATCAGGTGTCTTCGTTCTTCTGGTTTATTTTGCCTGTATTTTTGAATTCGTGTTTCGTTCTTTTTTTAATTTATGACTGTCTGTATTCTTTAATCTTGTTGGAGTTTTCGTTCCTTTTTCAAACAGACCCGGTCGATTTTCTTTTAGCCTTCGTTGCCCGTCTGCCTCGACGTAAGGGCGCGTTTGCACTAAACACTCGCACCCGTGGAACCGGAAGGGACTGGATAGAGAGGTTCTCTCATCCCTCGGTGCTGTATTGCGTCTCCGACTGTTTAGCAGTCGGGAGAAATCGCGTAATTCAATGACGTCTACCTCTTCTGTGGATTTTATCTTAAACCTTGCTAT